GCATTATAGCCACAAAGCCAAGGTCTGCTCCCTTTTGGAAGAATTCATTCCAGAGTCAAGGTTCTTAATCTGGAAACAAGTTTGGGCTAGAGAATAGCCAGACATTCAGGCAAGAAATTCATCACTGGGTAGAACTCTCCTTTTACTTGCTGACTTACTGAGTAATATTTATGGAAATCAACTTAGAAGAATATACTGTATGTTAAGTTAGCAGAATGGATGCTGCCTGCAGGCTATTGCAGTCATTCTTGATGACATTATCCTGTTTCTATCAGATTGCCTATGTAGCTCCTAGTATTTTGTGGTAGGGTTCGCCTTACAAGAGGAGTTCTTGCTGAAAGGAAGCTGGAAAACAGTAAGCCATGATGTCAACAGAGGGACATCACCTCAAGCTGTGTCTGCTGCTCTGTTGGGGGTTTTTTGTGTTTATGTCAGTGCATGTGACAAAAAATTTTGTACTTACTGGTCTCAGGCAGCTGCAGCAGGAACTCGGGGGTTCCCTCTAATGTTCAATGAGTATGATTCCTCCCCCCACAAACTACTGCACATCATTTCGGCGTGTCTGCATAGCCTGATTTTCAGGCCGTAGGTGTTGCCTACGCTGCAGCTAAGAGGTGCGAGTGCAGCATGCTGAGACTTACCAGGCTAGCTTTAATCTAATTAGCTTGGATAACAATATTAGTAAAGACGTGATAGAATGAGCTTCAGTAAATAAATGTATTCTGATGTGAAAGCCTGCTAGCAATCATCAGGACATCCCTGGGTGGCCAGCAACAACAATGTACGAATTTTAAAAACTCTTCCCAAGGGCTATTGAAACAACAGCTTGGCAATTGCTTCAAAGCCCCAAATCATCCCACAGATAGTTTACAGTTTTCCCTGTAAAACAATTTTAAAATATTGTATAAATTAACTGCTTGTCAAGATCAAATTTTAGCTGGAAAAAAAGTTTTAATTTCCTCCCTGTGGCTTCCCAGTCTTTAAAGATTTGCATGCATGGCTATCTTGACTCCAACCAAACCCTCTGTGCTCGCTGGCTTCATCAGAACAGTCACATCTGTCAGAGCAGGGTTCTTCTGTCTTCTTAATGCTGCCTAGAGTTGCATTGTTGGTAGCCTGAGTATCATCGTTTGCATTCTTGAATGGTAGAAGAGTAACTCAAGTAGATGAAACTGGCTCCGGGTCCTGAGTTACTGCATGGTTGTGGAGAGGAGACAGCCCACTGGCTTGATGAGAAAAGTTAGAAAACTACTTCAGAAGTAGAAAAGGTAATAGGAAGACAAAAGCTGGTTACTGAACCAAAGTATATAGACCTTTAAAACCAAAAGGTCGTCATGAGACAAAGTAGTGAATGTAAGTCAGGCAAACAGTGTAAGAAAAGGTTGATCATTATTTTCAAAATAAGAAAATATACTGGGGGGGGGAGGTGGAGGTGGTTGAAAGGCATGTACTTGCTCAATCTGCAAGGTTCATCCTTCCAGTACTGCTTTGTTCTATTGTTCTGTGAATGAGTATTACTGGAAGTTGGCTGCAGCAGCAAAAGCAACAGAACCCAGCATCTATCCAGTTACAACCCTTGGTACCACTTTAACTGCTCTGGACAGTCTGCCCTGCGTACAAGCCCAGGCAGCACTATATGAAGTAGCAGCGGATGTTGGTATTAGGGCTGCACAGGGAACAGCACACACAGACTCCTCCTCCACAAGTCAGGCTTTGAGGGAGTAACAGGCAGTCAGTCACTGGCAAGGCTTAGTGAATACTGGGAGGGAACCACCCTAACCAGGGGATCCTTCAGATAAGATTATATTCGTCTTGCTCCTGCTTAAACTCACAAAGAGGCAATTGTGTTTCTTGGGCTTGGAGACAAAGTCCTGGATGCTATGATTTGTGAAGTCCCTTCATTTACAGTAACAGAGAAGTGCCTTGCGTTTAAACATAGGAAGGAAATTAAGAAGTCTCGTTCTGAAACAGATTTTCTGCATGACCTTGAACACTTAATCTCTCCTTGCTTGTTTTCTCATCTGTATGACAGGGATAGTAATGTTTATCAACCACACAGGGGGCTGTAAGACTAAATTAATTAATGTTATAAAGCACTTTGATTCTCTTACATAAAAGGTCTTCTAGAAGTATGAAGGATATCTATTTATTATCTGCATTTTCTTCACTTTTTATTCATGCCCTATCAATTCTACTTCAGCGTTTTCTTCAAAATTATTTGTCCTAATCATCTCATCTAGGTGAAAAAGAAGAAATTGACAAAAACTTATGATTGCATAGAGACTAATGTTTGGAAACACTAATCTTAATTTCTTTATTTTAAGTGTACTGCCTCACAACTAGCATATATATGGATCTTCTTGAACAATGTTTCTTCTCCTTGGTGACTTCCCAGTGTGGTCTTTTCATCTTTATATGCTGTTTAAGGTGTCCATGAGCTCACACAAGTGGGCAAGAGTATGAAATCCTACTGTTACAATTTAACTTCCATTTCTTTGATTGTATTTTCTCTTCATTCTACTTCAATCCTATTCCTCTCTTGCTGTCTTTTCTTCTATTTGGCAGACTTTTTTTCCCTTCACCCTTCAAGAATCTCAAATCCACCAATGACCAATCATTTGTATACACTGTCACTTCTATTTGCTGTTTTACTTTTTTTTTTCAATGAGACAAGGCAGGCAGTGTGCTGTGCTGGATATCAGTACAGTGCACCTCGGGTACACTGAAACCATTTGACTTCACCTTATGTCATTTCTAGAATGTATTTTCTTTCTCTTAGCAATGAGCAGGACTGGAATTTGGCTCGATTTTGCCACATTTCTGAAGCACTGTGTAGCTAAGTGCTTCCAGAACATCTGATGCTACTGTTGTAGTGTTCAGCAGCCTGCTGAAAGTGTGAGATATGAATTAGATTATCTAACACCCAAATACTGGCTTGTCTGAGATGTTAGATAAGGATATGATTTAAATGTATGTATCCAATCTGTAAAAAGTGGCAACACTGCAAAAAAATGAAATTGTAGGTTGCTTTGTAGGTAAATTCTATGGTGTAATCACTTCAGATGAGTTTGAAGTGCAGTTTCTTATACTTGCTTCTGTATTCCTATTTTTCTGCTCCTTACTATTTCATAGATAATTTGGGATTAACTTTTCTATGCCTCATTGCTTACCCTAGTCATTTCCTGAATTTCAAAAATGTCATTGAACATGTCTTTGTTAAAAATAATAATAAGCTATTAAGCTACCTTATTCAACATGCTCAAGTCAAAAGATATGTACAATCATTAAACTGCAGTGAATGAATGGATTTTGTAAGGAGGCAGCTTGTTCATTGGAATTTGTTGAGCTCTACAGAATAAGCCAAGTTTGAAGAAAAAAATACATACTTAATGACTTTGAAGTTATAAAATCTGAAGGGTTTTTTTTATGAATGTGGAAGATGATTTTCTCTGCTCTGTTTACAGCCTAGACCATTAGGAAAAAGACTGGCTGTAAATGTTAACATAAAATTTTCTAAGGCCTGACTTCTAATTCTGCTTCAGAAGGAGGTGGGGAAAGGAGGTTAAGAAATTATTAAATTAATTCTGGGTTTGATTTAAATGCTGATTTATTTAATCTTACTACAACTGTTTCTGTAAAAATCCTGCCTTGCAAAGGCTGTGAAATTTCCCAGTATTTATAACACATAGAAAACTAGTGGCCAGATTCTGGTTGCAATGTGTCCCACAGGTTACCAAGTTCCTCTTAGTCGTGATGGACAACATAATAGCAGTGAGTGGAAGTGTCTGTATCCCTGCATACTGTTTCCTGCACCAGAGGAGTGGCCTGAAGAGAAACTAATTTTGTCTACTGACAGAAGAGCATTGGTTAAACCAGGAAATGAGTCAGGATGTTCAGAGAATCAGCTGAGCTTCTAGGTGCGGTTGAACATTTTCCCCTTTGTCACTGAGCAGCATTCCTTCCAGCTGTAGCCTCACATGCACAGGGATGGTGCTCTCCACCTCAGAGACCGCAGCAGTGGAAGTGCTGTCCTCCATACATAATTTTGTGTTTTGCTTATATAAATGGAAAATGTGACGATGGTTTATTTTGCTGAATTTGGACATAGGAATGCAGGATGCCAACTTCAGTGAGACATCCCCTAGGACTTTAATGTAGCCTCATGATCATACATTTTGAATGACTGCTGCTTCCAAGTAGTTCGATGGCATTTAACCAGTTAAAGGGGTGTGAAACTATGTGCTTTCAGTCTTGGAATACAAGTCTTTACAGAAAGATTAACGCTAACCTTAACACTCTTCTTGGATATTTATGAGATCATGCTGAAGTCTTAGAGGCCCTCACATTTTAATGCATTTGCAAGGCTGTGTATTGAGTGAGTGAAGAAAAGTGTGGTATATGCAAAGGGATGTTTAATCCTCCTGATTTCTCCAGGTTGCTGCTCTGTGCAGAAGAAAAACATTTTGCCAAGTGGACTGTCCCTTTTTTCTTTGCCAAACTGAACTTCATTTCTTTTGTCATCCAGGAGTTAGGAAAATGTTTCTGTGATTTCCCTGAATTTCCCTGGGAACATTTTCAGGTTAAAGTGAATACAGCTGCTTCGTCTGAATATTTTTAATTTATAATGCTTACATATTTAATAACTATTAAATACAAATATCTAGGGGAGTGGAATAACTTTATTTGGGATGTAGGTTCTTTCATTAGACAAAGTTTTGTTCTTCATGGGACTGCGATAGCAACTACATTTACGAAAGACTTAAGTCAAGAGATTGCTAAAAGTGGGTCCATATAAACATTAAATATTAAGCTGTTTGCTTCATAAAGTACAGTGTTTATTGTGACAATATTTCATTCTTTGCTTTTCTGGTTTTAAGGACATGTTTAATGTTTCAGCAATATTGTATACTGAAGATATTTTGAGAAGGTAAAATTATTTAAAAAGCAGTATTCGACTACAAGTAAGGCAAATTAAAATATCAGTTATTATCTCTCAACAGATTTTACCTGATTAGTGGTGGAGTTCCTTTTATTATATGTGGGATTACAGCAGCAACCAATATCAATAATTATGGGATTGAAGGCAATGCACCATAGTAAGTATAAACCATTATCATAAAACTTTTAAGGAAAACATACTCTCTTTCTTATGCTGATAAATGTAACTGACTTAATAAAGGGTACAGACATGCCATTTGGGATGACATTTATTATGAAATTTTATTAAATAATAGCTATGAAAGAGCAATGTCTTAATCTGGGGCTTGCTGCTTCACCTCTACTAATTCAACTCCATTACGGTCAATAGAATCACTTTTCATTTACAGAATTACTCTTCATTTACATCTGAATGGGTGGAAAGGACTTTAAAAATACCTAATGGATAGCATATTTAATGGAGCTACTAATTAATTAAATACTTTCAGTTCATTATCTACCTTGAATTTATATCCTTCAGGTGACTTATTTAAAGTAATTTACAAATAATTATGTGAAAAAGGAGAGTAAAAATCCCTCCTCCCCTTCCTCCACACCCACACCTCCCTTAAAAACCAATTATTTTGGATTTTAGCCACCTAGAAACGTTCCAGTCACAATGTCTTGCAATCCTGACATAGCCCTCTGGTGTACTAGCGTGTTAGTGTTCAGTATACCTCCACGAGCTGTCCAGGCATCACATTGTTATTAATTCTTGGCACGAAACATGAGATATCAATAAAGTACAGTAAGTCTTTCCATAGAAGTGTAACAGAAAATGAATCAGACTGCAAAGTTAAATACATTCTGTGTAAATGATCAGCATGGCAATGACTGGCACACTAATGGATATATTAGTGCTCTGCCAGCCATAGTCCTCCAGAGGACGTCACTCTCAGTAACTTCTTTGGGCATCTATTGTAATACATTTGAAACTAGTTATGTTCTGGGTAAGAAAAGTGGAAACAAAAGAGGATGGTTTGTAAGTGAGCATTTGGCTCCTTAAAGGCATTTTTATAGGTAATTGAAATTAAAATTCTGGTAATAAATTAGTACATACCGTGGCTAACTGTTTGCTCTGCCTAGGGCCTAACTCATATTCATCTATTTATTCAAAGTTATCCAATTAGACAATCACTTATAATCAACAGTATATTAAAAGACTCAATTATTTATGTTCATAAATGTGAGACATTTTTCATTTTGGCACAGTTACGGAGGTTATACTTCTTTAATCATGTTAATCATAGCCAATCAATACCTGGTACCACCACCTGTACAAAAAGCAAGGCGCAGGTGAGAGATGGTTATAAGACTGGGTAAAAAGACAGCTTCTAATTCAACAACAGCAGAGTGAGTTATATGCCTTATTCATTTTTAATAGTATTAGTACTGTAAATGTAGATGCACAAACTTGAAATTTTTTTAAGGAACTGATTTTTTAAGTGATCCAAAATGAGATTCCACTTGAAATAAGTGCATCCCAAGAGACTGTTCCACCAGGGAGCATACCATTCTCCACTTTGCATCAAATATGCAGCATTCAAATGTACTTCAAGTATTCATGTAGCTTTGTGCTCTCTGCTTATCTAATTAAACATAGGTGGTAACTTACGTATCTTTTCACAGATATCTTTCGGGGAATCTTTTCATGTGCATGTCTGACAGCAAAATATATACTCCTTGGAGTGTGTCTCAGTTCATTAATAAATGTGTGCAAGTTTTTGTTTAAGGTTCAGATTTTAAAAATTTAAAGAAGTTATTCTGCAGTTTCTTGCGATAAATACCCAGTGGGGCTGCCTCTTTTTAGCTGAGAGGTTCTCAGCCTCGGAGAACAATTCTATCTGCCCTTTTTATAGTAAGTGGTAGACGATTCCTGGCTTGGCAAGAATGTGATATCGGAGAAGGTTCTTCGCTGTATTGGAGGGACTGCAACCAATCACACATGCCTAAATGAGTATGAAGTGTCACACAGTGTCACTTTTAAAGCTGGAATGGATCATGACAGATCACCTGGTCTGTCTTTCTGACCCAGTGGGAAAGTAGCTATATCCAAACCATTCCTGACAGTAAGTGCTTTAAATGCTCTGATAATGGATAGACCACACTTTATTCCAACAGCTTATTATCCTAGTTGACCTAACAGCTAGCAAACTTTTTGAAAAATCTAATTTAAATCTTTTTTGCTGCAGTTTAAGCCGATTACTTCTTGTCCTAGTCCAACAGATAAGGAAAGTAACTTATTCCTCTTTCCAGAAATCCATTCAATAGAGTATAAGAACCTAATAATGTCTGTACTAGCTTATACCGCCAGCTCAGTTCCCTGTCTGTAACCGTGGCTAAAAGCAGATCATAGAGAAGAGTAAAAACTAGGCAAATACTCCTTCTGCCCCGACCCAAGCTCTCCCACTTTCCATCTGGGATTTCATTAGCCTGAATTGTTTTCTTCCTCCATGTTTATTTGATTAGATCATTCATCCTCAGGACAGTCCTGTTAGACTGCTACTAAATTATGCAGCTGACTGAGGCTTACTCAGCTCGTACTGGCCTGTGAACTACTTTAAGCTGCTCTAAAACAGTTACGGTTATATTATTTAAAGCCTAGCAAATAATGCTCCAGATCCACGCTGCAATAATATTATGCTACCAGTGTATCACAAAGAGACCATCAATTTCCTTAATTTTTCTGAGGACATTCAAAGTGATGTAAATTAACTCCCAGGAATTTCAGAAACAGTGGAGAATTCAGAAATGGCATACATCTTTTGGGTCTGCTCACTGTAGAAATTGGTGACTGTTCAACGGGAAGTCTTTTTTCAGCCTCTCTTATTACTCAGGCTGTTCTCTACCTTGGCAACGTGAAAATTTTGTAAAAACAATCTTCAGGCTTAAGAGTTTGTATCAATGTTCATTGATACAAACCATTGAAATCTGTACATTTCTATTGCTCACACAGATTGTATAAACTATGCCTCATTTGCTTTTTAATCAAAGTATTAGCGCTGACATTTTCAATAGTAGAAAAACGGGTTGACATAAATGGTCTTATACTTCACTGCAATTCTAGATTCTAAACTGGCCTACATTTCTTGGAAATTTTCAGCTTTAAACTGTAAATTATACTAGACATTTTATTATTCTGTTAAAAAATACGAAAGTGATGCCTCAGCTTAATTGATATTAAAGACACACTCCCTTTCTCCACAACGACCCTATCTGAACTTCTGAGACACTGTTGGGTCACACAAGTTGGTCAGAAAGCCCAGTTTCACATCAGTTGGTTGCCATCTCATCTAATGCGGGCTATAAAATGTTCTTGACTCTCTTTTTTTGTTGTTTTCAGTTGCTGGATGGCATGGGAGCCCAGCCTCGGTGCTTTTTATGGGCCAGTAGCATTCATTGTGCTTGTCACCTGTGTTTACTTTCTTTGCACATACGTGCAACTGAAGCGCCATCCTGAACGCAAGTATGAGCTAAAGGAAAAGACAGAAGATCCGCAGAGGATGCCAAGTACTGAGGTGGGCCATGCTCATATTACAGACTCTGTGTCCGTTCCCCAGGCAACCTGCTCTATGATTACTTCTTCCTTATTGGAAAATGAGCATTCATTTAAGGCTCAGCTTCGAGCCGCAGCATTCACTTTGTTCCTGTTTACTGCCACTTGGACCTTTGGAGCCCTTGCAGTATCCCAAGGTCATTTCTTGGATATGATATTTAGCTGTCTTTACGGAGCCTTCTGTGTGACCTTGGGGCTTTTCATCCTGATCCATCACTGTGCAAAGCGAGATGATGTGTGGCATTGCTGGTGGTCCTGTTGCCCATCTAGAAGAAACACCTATTCTGTCCAAGTTAATGTGCGCCCAAAGGTTAACGTCAATGGTGACACTCAAGTTCATGCACCTTGTCTTCAGGAATCCCCGTGTCCCAACAAATCGGCTGTGTTTAATCATCCAGCGGCTAGCCACTGCAAACTTACTAACCTACAAGCCGTTCAAAATCATGTTAACTGCCTTTCGCCTGTGACACCGTGTTGTGCAAAAATGCACTGTGATCAGCTACTTGATGATGAAGCTCACATTCATGTCCACAACGAGGGAAGCTTCAGACCCAATATGCACATTCATAGATGTCTGAAAAGCAGAACTAAGCCACGTTATTTCAGTCGGCACAGGTCTGCAGGTGAAAGAGAATACGCCTATCACATTCCTTCAAGTATCGATGGCAGCATCCACAGCTCACATACAGACAGTCCCCACAGTACGCATGATAGCCAGTCAGGTCACAGACGGGCCTGCTGCTCAAAAAGTGATCCATATCCTACTGTCAACCAGCCTGAGAGTAGCGACGCAAGTACTGTAATATATAGTTGTGCTAAAATGCCAGAAAGTGACACTGTGCACCATCCAGCTCATTTTGAAATGCACCCACGGACACAGTCATTGCCGTTTAATACGACGAATCACAACGGAATTCTCAAGGGAAACATGCATGAAGCCATGATATACAGCTCAGATAGTACAGGAAATATCAAAACTGGCCCTTGGAAAAATGAAACTACTGTGTAGTTCATGGGCCATCATGATGTGTTTTTTCCCCTAAACCATCGTTAGCTTTGTTTTTATTCCAAACTAAATAAGATGACATATTTGTGTAGCTCAACCGTAAATTGTACAGCTTTGCCATCTTTATTTCCATTTTCTTAAGAAGAGTCTAAAAGAGAGAGATAGCGACAGTTTTAAAGTGAAGTTATTTTTAAAAGAAAGTTATAAAATTATTCTGAAAGGTAATTAGAAAATGAAGTCTAGACAATTGAATATGAGAGGCAATATCCTTTTGTTACACAGAACAACATTTCTTTAGAAATACATCATTTCATTCATTGTTTTCATTTTTGTTGTGTGGTAACTTCAGACACTTTTTATAAACATATCAGCATCTTAAACTCTTACTTATTTATTTTTGTAGCAAAATATTAGTACTGTGCCATGGATTTTAATCAGAAGTGACTATGGTAGAAATGATAAACAGGATTTTATAAAATTACAGCTTTTTAGATCTACAAAAGTGATACTGCCTCTAAAGATCTTCTGTAGCATATGGCCTGTAAAGTCGTGTAATGTACAGTCTCTGTTCTGTCCTTTTTCTTGTTGGAGAGAAGTGCTAGGTAATGTCTCTGTTACATCTATGGTGCTGTATTGGTTGTATTTTGCATGACATATGTCAGGATATACCATTTGCTGTTTTCTAGTGTTACATGTGTTAAAAAAAGAGCAAAAAAAAAAAGTGTTGTACAAGGCTGTGAAAAACCCTATTGATATTAATCTAGAGCATTATAAATCTACAGAAAAAAAATCACTCTGCACTAGTTTAAGTGGCACAATCCTTTGTATAAGGTTATATGATAGCTTTGATAAGGGTCCACTCTAATGTCTTTACAGAGCATGCACTACTCATCGTATGTGACACTGTGCGGTGTAATAGCAATTGTCTCAACAAGTTTTACACTTCTTTGTAAAGTATGCCTTTTGAACAAATCTGTAAGCTGTTTCACAAAAACCTTTCCACATCTGTTAAGGTAGAGCAGTTTTATCATTAACTCTTTGAGGACTACAGTTATTTTCTTAAAATAGCTTATTCTAGTTCAGAGACACTGTATATATGATATTGTCTATTTAGTTACATGATCAATGTAGTCCAGAGTTGTCAGGAAAGAGAAAGTTCAGTCATTTTCCAAAACCACACCTTCTTAGAGTCCATCTAGTAATTTCACCACTTGCTTTCTGAAAACTCGTTTCCTCCCCTAGCAAATTTCAGATCGTCCTCATCCTTTAATGCAAATGTGACCTTCAGAGAAGTTCTTTATGTTCATGATTTCTGCTGAATTGTAGGGCACTCCAGGATCAGTACCATTCTCTGTTAACAAGGCTCTTGGCAAGAAATTTTTTCATGTTTCCGTGAACATCTGGACACAAAGCATCAACTCACAGTACAGAACTGCATCATAATTATGCCTATATGAAATAAAACTGCTTTTTTCAAATAGGAAGGGTGAAGAATAATAATGAATCGCAGAAAGTGAATAGGAGCATAGAGCTGAGATGAAAATGTCTACAGTGGAAAGTGAGCAGTGCATCTATAAATAAGAGAAAAAGCACAATTCTGTATGGCCACATGAGAAAGTTTGCTGTCATGTCTTAACGCAGCCTTATGTAATTGCTACATTGCTGCAGAGAGGAAGTAGGAAATTCATCAGGAAATGTAGGAAAGATCATCAGTCTGCGATTTTCTGTGTATATGTTGCAGAAATCTTCACATACTTCAACCCACTGTTTTTCTGTTGTTAGCAGTTTATTAGCCTCTACCTTTTTTTTAATATGTAGGAATACATTTGCTAATAGTGTACATAAAGATGACAGTTATAATTGTTAGAATGTTATAAAAACATGTAAGTCAGATGAATGTGTTCTGCAGTGTTGCAGGTGGGAATTAGTACTCAAAGGGTTAATGCTCAGTATCTGAGTGCAAGAAATCTTGTTTTTCTGTATTTTTGTAAATTTGAAATATATATTGTAAAATCCAGCGGTGCAATGTATCCATCTCAGATTGTGTATTTTTAAAGGTGAGCAAGAAGAATGCACTAGGTGGTTGTCAAGTTTTAAGCCAATATACAACAGTTTCATGACTGCTTCTTTAGCTAATACGAAAAAAAATCCACGCCTGAGCTTTATTATGTATATGCTGTATATGCTTGAACTGTCTCTAAACTAAAATACAGTATTTTTCTTTGTTTGCATAATGAAATATTTTCTGTTTAATAATTATTTTTTTTTACTATCACTTTTAGTCATTCCACATAGACAGTGAGCCCTAAACAAGCATAGACATAATGTGAAATACCACTTCTCTGTGTCTCAGCACTATGTATATGTATATTCTGTAATAGCAAAATCCTAGGAGGCCTGTAGACCATTATGCAAAATATTCCACACACACAGCCAAGTGAAGTACTCACTCTGCAAGAACCCACTTGGTGAGCTGCTTTATTCAGCTTGTGTTTTAATCACCTCTGTTATTTTGTCTGAGAGGCTAGTTCCATCTTCATTAAGGCTTACAAAGAAGTAAATAGGTGCTGCTTTCCACAGAATATCTTATGTGATAAAACTCTCTGGAATTTAAACGTAAAATATTAAAACACTTTTCTTATTGTGTTAAAAATTAATCTAGTGGATATTTCCGGGCTAATTTGGAAGAGATGTGTTATGCAATAATCTGTTTGCATATTATTTTTTCAGAAAATATACAGTATAACTACAGAGTAGGAGAACATGATATTAAATAAATATAAAAATGTTTTGTAACATCAAATTTGACCAAAATGCTTTTTGTGCTTTTGATTTTTTTTTTCTCCTTAAGATAAATGAGATAATTTCAATGCTTTGGGAGTCCGGCTTTGTTTTATTGTGGGGTTTTGGTCAATTATAGTCAGTGAAGCATTACTACTTTACCTGATTTTCTTTCCTATAAAAATAAAGTCAATGAAATAACTGGAGTATAAAAGATGTATTGTCCTAGTAAATTCCTCATGGACATAGAATTGTAACATGCTTCAAAGTCATCATTAGTTTTGGTGATTCATTGATGACATAAAAATGACTGAACAGATTTTTACAGTTCACTTTTTGCCCGAGATCAAGCAAGAGAAATATAATCCAAAAAAGATAATTTTTGGAGAACGATGCAATCAACAGAAATCTGAAGGGTGCTTATTACAGTACTGCCAGGACAAAAATATGCTGTGATGCTGTAGTGTTCTTCTCCACATACAGAAGTTCCAGTTTTCATGACCAAATTTCAGATCTAAGTGACTCAGTTTTAAGACCGTTTACAAGAAGAATTCCTACCCAGCCTTATATAAAGAATTTTGGGTTTAAAATAAAGCATACATTTTTGCACATTATGCCTGATCATATGTGTTGTTCCCAGGAAGTCTGTTGGTTGTGTCTGCACTAACACGACTGTGAGCAGTTGCTGTCGGTGACCATAAACACATGTTCTCCTTCACCACACAGCTGCCTGCCAGCTGCCCTTTGGGCACCCTATCCAGATGTTAATGCACCGAGGGAGCTTCCACTGCAGCCCTAAAGCATTTTTGCTGTCTAAACCAAAAGCAAAGTCTGTGCTTAAAGCAAAGTCAAGGCCACCTTTGACAGACAACGCAGGCAATTGGGCAGCCTTCACTTGAACACTAAGGGCTGAAGGCGGATAAACCTAATGGAAGTGGCTTTAAGCAGTGCAACTCCTCCTCCTTCCAGCTCTCTGCCTAAACTACCTGCCTAGTAGGTCTGCTGCCTCCAGACGTCTGCCAAATCCAGGCAAATCCAGGCAAAATTAGCTTACCTAAATTTCCTGGTTGTGCTGTTTCACTCTCATTTCAGCTAATGAATTCAATTATCAGAAAAGCCCAATTTGGAGGAAACCTTTTCGGATGCTCTTTCACAAAGCTGCTTCAGGTTCATCATGTGTGGGGACATGGGTCTAAGTGTCCTGGAAGCCACGAAGATCTGAAATTGCTCTTGCACAGACACTAGTAAGGCTTACAAAGCTGACTGTGACTCCACTAATTTGGAGGTAGCTTCTGCTGTAAATTATATGGCCTTTTACAATGAAGAGATTTTCTGACAGATGAGGTGCGTCCATTTGAATATTTTGGAAAATGAAAGCTGTCATCAGAATCAGGCCAGTAACCTTTTTAACACAGAATCTTTTTTGCATGGACATGGAAAAAAAGGAAGGTGGGTACAGTTCTCTGTAAAAGAGACCACCTGTACTCTCACTGAGATGTTGTTGCCTGTGACAAAAATGACAGGCCGATGAAGCCATTAGCAGGTCAGCAGCTTCCTTACCAGAATATAAATTCAAATTCCTGTACCAGCATCCTACAGTTCAGAAAGAAGCTGCAGGAGGCAGCTGGATCAATCAGAATCCATCAGCTGGGTTTGAAGGTTGGCTGGCTGACTTCAGTCAAGCAATTTCCGTAGTAAGTTGCTGCTCGAGGCAGCTTTTACTTGCTTAGTTAACTCTACGGAGAAAGGAGCTTTTGCTTTGGTTGTTTGTTTTCTTTTGCTTTGCCCAGCTGGCCATTTTTTAATTAGCAATTGAATTGCTAAGAAAACTTATTCTATGGATCACCTTGACTATATAAGCCATGGAGGTTTGTTTCCTGTTACTATGTCTGCGAAGGTGCAAATGAATCCCTATTCCCTTATCCTACCCGCCTTTTACTTGAGCTTTTGAGGAGGTGACAAGCATCAGTGAATTCAGGGCAGTATTATAGAGCTCACTTCTCTGCAAAGAGAGTTGAAATTTGGTTTGCAAGCGCTAGAGCAGCTCAACCTCAGACAGATATCCTGCCTTAAGGTTAGGCAGCTGACCATGCCGGAGGGGTAAGGGGGTTTTTTGTAAACATGGTGTCTGTATACCCCACAGGTGCTACTGTCTCTTTACATTTTGATCTGTTTGAATTCCGTAGTGCCTTGCAGTCTGAACAACAAAATGACTGACTGTT